TTGCTCCGCAAGTACAACAGAGATGCAACTTTAATAGTGGGGGAGGCAAGCTGCTATAATCTCGGGCAAGCGTGTGTTTTCCTAGTTTTTTTTATCGTATTTTTTGCGACAAAGTTTGTACCGATTTTTGCGATGACGTCGGTGGCTCGGCTCTATTGGTAAATGCAACAAAGTAACGGTTGTTTACTGTGGCTCGTTTTTTCCATTTTGTTTGCTATTTTCCTCCGTTATCTAATCTTGACTGGGAATGGAGTAAAGTTTTTGTGGAAAGTGTGAAAGTGGGAGATTGGGGAGTGCAGAGAAGAGAACTCTGTCCGTACAGCTGTCCGTTTTGACAAGTGTCCGTTAAGTGTCAAACAAAATGTCAAAAAAAAAGATGTGAAAACATCAGGAAACAAGGCGAAAAAATTTCTGTGAAAAACGCAACGCAAAGAAAATGCAAAAAAAAAGGCCAACGAAAGAAAATCGCGCCAGGAAATTCGCAGAGGCAAACAATTTGAACAAATCACTTATGACAAGGTGGCAAGGGGGGTTGTGCGGGAAGATGGAAAGGCAGCTCTCCTCCATTCCCTCTCTTCCACGTCACACAACCCCTTCTTGACAGATTGCACTTGCCCCGAAATTGAATCATCAACGGGAATGGCCCAAAAAGGGACAAAGGCAGAGGAAAGGGGGCCATGGGACTGCAACGCATCTGCCATGACCTCCCCTAACGCTTTTCCGAGCAGGTTTTAAGAGGGGCACCACCCCTGATCCACTTTACACTTGGCACATCCTTTTGCTTGTCGCCTGTCATGTGACAGCAATTAACGAAGAAGCCCAAAATGGAGGAAGAAATTCCAGAAACGTCGGGTATGAAGAAGTGAATAAGTCCATTTATAAAAAATATTATAAAATCGGTGGAAAATATGTTGCGATAAAACCGGAATTGCAAAAAATTCCACGAGTGTTTCACTTCAGGATACTGAATCCGTGGTATAGTACAATTTGTTGAATTAATTAAAAATGAAATGGTTTATTTACAATAATCTACTTTTATCTGTAAACTTTTAATTGTCAAGTTTAATATTCTATGAAGAAGCGATAAATTATATTCTTTTCTTATTTAAACATTTAATTTTATCTATTAAAATATAGAAATAATATAGTTTTAACTTGAAATATATTTAATTCGAAAAGGAAAACTTTTTTCAAGTGTATTTGTAGAAAGAAAAAGGCTTGCAGCGACGGTTACTTGTGGCTTCGTGCAACAGTTGCAGTTGTTTAGGGGGGGTAAATTGAATCTGCGGACCATCTTTAACCATGCCCCCACCTCTTTTGCCACCGCCCCTGTCCTTGCGCCCACCCCTAGAACATTGCAACTTTGTTGCATTTTCTAAGTAATTTGTCATCATTTGTGCTTCGACTCAGCCAAATGACAGACGTGACAAGAGTGCCAAGCTGACACTTTGGATAATGGGGAAGTGGGGAAAAGATAGCGAGGGAGCAGAGCTCTTCAGAGAAGGTATAGGGAATATGCACTGTTAGGCATATAGCATCATATTTTTGGTATTTTGTTTATTGTTTTTATGTGGAAACGCTGCACAAAAGGTGCTGCATTCTAAACTGTCAAATTTGTGTCAGTTTTCGGTTTTGAGGGAAAACGGATTTAGAAACCCGGAAGTTTCAATACATGAGAACGCCCGACGAGAAATAAAAATATTGCTTTATGAGGTTTTTAAACTTTGATTTGTTAAATAAATTGTGTAGGAAAAATAATGAATTTTGGTAAATTTTTAAAAAATTTTTAGGGGTTTAAAACTGTCAAAAATTAGCAAAAATTTTAAATTTTTTACATTGTATATGAAGTATGCAGATTTATTAGCCTAATAAAAACTATTTAAAACTGTCAAAAATTAGCAAAAATTTTAAATTTTTTACATTGTATATGAAGTATGCAGATTTATTAGCCTAATAAAAACTAGCATAGACTAGCTTTCCGAATTAAAATTAATGCTTTTTTGGCTAAGTTATGAGGTTTTTAAACTTTGATATGTTAACAAATTGTCATTAATAAATATAAATAATGTGACTAAAAAAAATGGCATTGTAGGCTTAGTCAGAAGCTTGTAACGCTGTGAAGGAATCATTTCCGACCATATAAATCATATATTGATCAGCATCAACAGGCGAATCTGAAATCTGATTGCAAACTGCATGGCTTCTCGTAGTTAGTTTGCCTTCTTGTTCAATCTGACCTTGTTCGAATTTAGTTCAATTTCCGATACCAAATAAAGTTGAATTAAATTGCCAACTTACAACTCTTGAATTGCGAAGTACATCTCAAGGTAAATGTTGTATATTTAAATTATTTATTTTAATCGCTGCAAACTGAGCGACGACAAGTGCAATGTAAGCGCCAGATGTTGTTGTGAATTCCCCTTCAAAGTCTACTGGTCACCCCTGCCGCTGTTAATTTTAGTTATACATTAGCCGTGCAAAGTTCGTTTTTTACTGTGCGCTTTTCTGTGAATTTTTCAACTAGTTTTGTGTTTGCATCTGCATCTGGAAATTTCATTAGTCTTTAACGATTTCTTATTAATATTTCGTTATTACAACAGTGTGACATTAAGAATACTATAAATGTTGAGGTATAGGAAATGTAGAATATGTTAGTGATGGAGTTCAAGGCTATAATTCCCTTGCAGCAGGGTATTATAATTTTAGCCAGATGTTAGTTATGATCAATTTCCGATTCGATTCAATTGCAAAGGTTCAGGGTATAGAAACTTCGGCTTCCCGAATTTAGTTTCCTTTCTTGTTACAACTTAGGTCCATCATAAGGAACCGCTTGTCTTTTCTAACAAATATTGAATCAATTACATATAAAGATCATCAATATTAAATAATTTTGTGTGCTAAATTTGTTGATCAGCGGTCATTAATTACCTTTTTGCATAATTATTTAATTTAACAATTCGGTGTTTAGTTAAGATTTATTTGGTTCTCTCAACGATTTTTTTTAAGTTTTTCAAACACACTAGAAACATTTGCTTAATGAACCAAAATTTTCAACAAACGAGCGCTTCAATAAATAAATTATATAAAAAAAATCGTAAAAAATTGGCATTGGAAATTTTTGTGTGTTTTTGTGTATTCGTGAGACGTGCTTTGGCAACTTTTTGTTGTTTTTAATTCTGTTGTTTTTACTGCTGCTGTTGTTGCCTGCTATTGTTGTTAACGGCCTTCGCTAATGAACAGTTATGCAATGTGCAAAAAAAAAACGAAAGACGCCAAAACACAAACAAAAACAGAAAAGGCGAACCAGCGAAATGAACTGAACTGCAAGCCAACTTTTTGAAACTGAATCTGAAAGATAAATAAACACTTTCAATGGCGGAATCGGCGTCTTAGATACACTTTTTATCCATTGTTTGATAAATTTGATTTGGTAATTATTTTTAATAAACTCTGAATTGTATTTCAGTTAAAATTAAGCAGTTCTATTGAAAGCTTAAAGTTTAAGAAATATTTCTTATATTTGTACAACCTTTTTTGTTTTAGTCTCAGTCGATGAACTTCAAGGTTGCTTTGTCCCTTATCAATATTAACAAAATGTAAATAAACTCTAAATTGGTAATAAAATCTTCTCTAAAATCTAGTAAAGTTTTTAATAAAGTCTCTAGTAAAATCTCTTACATTTTTTATAAAATCTCGAGTAAAAACTGAAACAAAATCTGCTATCAAATCCCTCTCGAAAAGCAAAGTACTCTCACTCCACCAAGAGTATCTCGAAAGACAGAGATAGAGAGCGGCTATAGTCGGTCCGTTACAAGCGAGTGCTTCGAGCCAAAGTTGGACTTTGCACCGAGCACGCGAACCTGCCATGATGCGGAATCCGTTGTGGATCGGATGTGAATGGGGATTTCAGACGGATTTCCATGGGGGATCTCGCTTAGCTCTTTGTGTCTCTTTCCCGGTGGGAAGCGCGAGCTGCAGGGAGCGTGAGGAGGACGGGGGAAGTGAGCAGTACAACATGGCAAGAGGATCTGCGCCGCCGTTGGGAGAAACCCAAACAAATTCCATAGCTGCTTTTGCTGATTGTTTGACCCCGTTTTCGAGCAGGTGGAAACCATAGAAGAGAAACCCCTGAACGACCGTACCACCCGAATCCACCCTCCGTTTTTCACGTTTTCCCACCTCTACACGCACATAGAGAGAGACACGCACAGAAACGCATATTTGGTTTCTGCTTTACGAACTCATTTGCCCCGCCAAGGTTTGATTGATTTGTTGTTGTCTCCGATAAATATTCGAAACGGTTTTGTTTATAATAAAATAAAAGTTGAAACCACCGCCGCCGCTGTCGGGGTTAACCTTTAATGACTTACTTTTAGTCATTTCCATTTTTTATTTTCATTTCTATTTCCATGGTTATGGTTTCGGCGGAAATACTGAGAACGTAATGTCGCTTTTTTAGTGAATTTCGGGGATCTAATTTTCGTAAATGACTCCAATTGGGAATTATCTGGAAGGTTTATTGATATATGCAGATATTACAATTGGGTTTTGATACTTTACAGCAAATTTCAAACACCTGTTTTTTAAGGTCTAATTCAAAAGCAAGGCTTGGAGTTTTTTGCTAGGGACAAGGCCAGTTATGAAAATACATAATATTTAAAATAATGATTGAAATCAATTTTACAAAATAATTGCAAAATTCTAAAAAAAAAACGAAAGTTGTAATTTGTGTGGTTAGGGAAACCTTTTCTCGAATTTTCCAAGCTGTCACAGTAGATAGTATTTTTATAAATATATGTATATGCATAGATAATACCGTGATTACCCAATATGTATGTCCCTATATTTTCTACCCTCTCCCCTCCCCTCACTTGTTCCTCCCTATTTCACCTTTATTGCGTCGTTTTGGTGCAGTTCTATCAGCTTAGCTTATTTCAGGCTAGATCGAGTTTATTTAAAAAAGCTTATTAAATTAAATTTATTAAATTTATATTTTTTAGATATGGATTCCGCAAAAGCCGTAAAAGACGTATTGAACTTTTTTGGGAAATATCGCCACTGTTTAAATTGTTTAGAGAGAAGACCAAATTTTCATCTGGCAGTACTATACTCTCGATAATATTCCATTTTGGAGTCGCTCTGCAAAGATAACAAGACACAGTTTCGCGAGCTCAGAATATTCGGAATAAAAAGAAGCTAAAACATACATACATTATGCATAATATTATGAAACAGCAAAAACCAAAAGCCAGGCGGTGACTGCCAATTCCATCTAAGCCAGCTGCAATCTTTCCAATTGCATCCCGTACTCCGAAGATGTACGGAGATGTGTATGGACATACATACATATATATTCCCATATGAAATGTGAAGTGAAGTGTCGCGAGTTCCGAATTGCAGTGTTTCTTTATTTTTTATTTTTTTTGTGCTGTGCTCTTAAAAGTCACAAATTTAATTTTTTTTTTTTTTTTTTGTTGTGAAAAAGTCAAAGAAATAATGTTCCAAAAGTGTCGAGTGTTAGTGTCAAAGTGTTTAGTGTTAGTGTCAAAATCAAGAAGTATAAACAAATATAAAAAAAGCCATACAAAGAGGAAGAGATGGTGAGTGCAAGAAAATACATATGAACATATGTACATTCTCGTTTTTGTTTATGGCTTGTTTTTAAGCTTTTCCCTCTTTTTAAATAGAGTTAAGCTTATTGCTGGTTAAACTCTTGCATATACGGGTGGTCATAACCTGGCAACACTGCTTCGGTGACAGCAATTACAACAATCGAAAAAGCAGCAGACAAAACAATCTGAAAATAAAAACAAAAACATTGTTTCCAATGGTGGCCGAAGTAGAGGGGAGCGGAGCAGTCCGATTTCGATTCCGGGATCTCGAAGCTTTGGCAAGAAAGAGAAAGCAAAAAGGGGGGTGGAATGGAGACATAGACTGAGAAGGTGGCGGATGTGGGAAAGGGACGAGTTCATTCAACTTGTAAGGGTGGCTGGGGGTGGGCGACAAGAGAAGAACAGAAGAAATGTGTGTTGTTTTTATTTTGATTTAGCTCATTTGACAAGACGACAAAGAGACGGGCAGAAAATCGTTCGTTCGATGCTTCGCTCTCTAGCAGGTAAAGTACAGTCCACCTTGTAAATGTGCCAGGGTGTGAGTGCGCGAGTGCAAGTGGAGCAAGCGAAGAACGGGAGAAGGAAGGAGGAAGCATAAATGCAAACATAAATGGGAAATACACACAGTTGTTGTGATCAATTTACCATTTACAATTTACAGCCAGCAAGCACACACAGAGAGACACACAGAGAGGGCACATAAAGCGTACGTACAGTTTACAACAAGAAGAAGCAGTTTGTTACGAACTAGTGTGGGGAGCGACGCAGAGCCAGCAAAAACAGAGCGAGAGCGCAGCAGAGTGTTGACGAGTGGAAAACCACACAGAGCGCGAGAGAGCTCTCTGCGGCCATGATTATTACGAAAGTGAGTGCATAAAAACAAACGCGAAAAAACTAAGAGCGCGCCAACTGCGGCATTGGAACGCCATGAAAACGAACCAAAAGAGTGGATGAACTTACGTTCCACATATTCATTCTGCCACTCCCTCTCTTAACTGCTGCATGGTTGTGCCATTCGTTCTCTGCGCCCGCGCGTACCAATGCCAAACTGTACCATTATTCCATTCCATTTTGGTTCGATGTACACCCCAACCCCCCTGTGACACAAAAACCCCTGGCGATGGCTTTTTGGCTCTCTCTTGTGTAAAAATCAAAATAAATCGTAAATAATTTTTTCTCGCTCTCCTCCTCGCTCGCTTCGTCTTCGTTTGTTGCTCTTTTGTCTCCTTCTACTACGTTTTGAGCGTTCGCATGAATGGAATGGTCGGGTGGCGGTGCTGTGCTGGTGTGCGGTCAAGAGAGAGAGAGAGCGCTATGGCGGGGGCACTAGTAGTAGTAGTATTTGAGTATTATTTTTTCCACTCGCTCGCTCTCCTTGCTCTTCCTTCTGGCTGCTGGTGCTGCTGCCTCTGAAATCCGATAACCAGTGTGCGAGCGAGACAAAAGAATAACAAACAATTATAAGTTGTGCAAGTGTGTGTGTGTGTGGACGGGGAATGGGAATTTCACAATATTTGTAGCGACGGCAGCGGCAGCGACTGCGACTGCAGCGTCGCCTCGTGCCAATTTCACTTGCAACGAAATTTCTCGTTCCTGTAATGCTTACCAAGTGTGAGCGAGGGGGATGACACGAGGAGTGGAATGGAATGGAACATTTACGGTTCTAGCTGTTGTTGTGTGCGCGCGTGGAATAGGTCTCATAACGAAGGGCGAAATAAAAACAAAACCCGAAGGCAAGAAGAAGCCGCAGCTATTGTGCAGATTGATTTTTGATGCGTGCGTGAGCCCGTGCATGTGTGTTCATTTCTTTGTTTTTGTTGCTTTTTCGATTTAGGAGTTTTTTGTTTTTGTAGACCGTGCCGAGCATCATGTCGTTTAAAAAAAATCCTCATCGGCTTTTCCTCAATTTCCATTTCCGAGTTTTTTTTTTGTTGGGGAATTAATTTGAAAATATCTTTGGGTTTTCTTAAGTATTTTTCTGGTGGAAAACATGTATTTGTTCAGGCACACTTTTTGGGGTGATAAATGAGTAACGAATTTCCACGAAAAACTGGAAAAGTTCTTGTGGGAATTTTGTTCGTCATTCTTCAATAAATTTTTGTAGTGGTTTCCTTGCTTTAAGTACAGTTATTCCCCGTTTAATGCTTTTTTATGTTTGTTGCTGAAAGTTTGAAATCATATACATAATTGAAAATTTATATTAAATTATATCTCATTCATAAAATAAGTTTGAACTTAATAAATTGGATTTATACCTTTTTACACAAAGAAATATCAAGTTAAACATTTAGAATGGTGTAAAAAAATTTTACATATTCTCTCTCTTAAAAATTTTACATATTCTCTCTCTTAAAAATCTCTAGAAAATATTTTAAATATTATGAATTCCTTTCTCAGTATATTTTTTTAAATCCTTTTGGAGTTCTAGTGTAACGCGATTTCTAAAACAAAACATTCGTAACTTTATTTTACATATAAAAAATTTTTTTTACAAAAAAAATTGAGAATTGTAAACAAAATTTATTAAATACATTTTCTAAAAAAAATATATATATATATATAAATTTCTATAAATATATAGATCTTATATTACTTATATTATCTTATATTACTTATACTTACTGAGTAAATTTAAAAAAAAAACTCAGGAAGCCTAAAATAGTTGAAATATTAGTTAGGGTAATTTGTAGTTCTGCTTTTCTATTTTTATTCTTTTCCCGCGACCTTATCTTCATCTTAAGAAAGTTCTAGGGGTATGGAAAATTTCCAAACCTAAAAAATGTAAGAAAGGAGGGGCAGTTCCGCATGATTAGAAGCCGCCAGCTGATAAATCAGACCCGCACACTATTCCGACACGATCTCCAGTTCGCAAGTTCTTCGAGGGCGCCTTGGTTCCTGAATAAATCCTGGGGTTAATCCCTTGATGGATGCCCTCAGGTGTGAGCTTCCCTTTGGGGGTAAATACTAATTATAGCGGCAGTCATATAGCAATATGTACATATCTACAATATGCTTCTACTCAGTCATGATGGCTGGCTTTCGCCTTAATCCCCACGACAGGCAGGTGGTGAAAATTTCCCCCATTAAGACATCGGAAGTCCCATATGTGTGTAGCTCCAATGACGACGACCACTAAGAAGTCTTTTCTAGATAAAGAATCGTGATCGGTTCAACTAAATGCGCTTCCGTAAGGGGACTTCAAAGGGCCACCGTTCTACAAGGAGGTTTGGGTGGTTATTTGGAAAAGGCAGAGGCGACGGCAGGGGCGGCAAGGGCTACTTCAGCTTGCCCTCAAGTGCGTACGTGACGCTCGTTGCGTGAGTTTCTAGTTTTTAGCTTCACACGCGGCGTCTTCCGGCTGCATTTCGGGTTTCGGTTTCAGTTTCGTTTTCGACTTGGGAAATTTTTTGTTCTACACTCTTTTCGGATGCGTGTAAACAAAGCGATAATTCAGCTGTCGACAGGCAGCTTGCCACACTCACTCACTTACACACACGCACCTAGAGTCCAAGTCTAACCGCACTCCAAAAAGCGACTTAGTGCACTGAAAGAAAGTAATCAAAACTAATTGTATGAAAAAATTTTTTTATTAAGTTTTTATTAAGTAATAGCTAATTTGGCGGACAGAACTCTCTTGTGCGGACAATTTATGAGATACACTTACCTCTTAGACTTCATACAATATTACAAGTTCTAATTCAAAAGGTAAATTAATGGACGTTTCTTTCTTGAGCGGACAATTTGACGGACAAAAAATTCCAAAAATAGTAAAGTTGTTATTGTTAGTCTGTAGAACAGAAATCCAAAAGCAGACAGTAAGGTTATAATAAAATACCAAGAGCAGTCTTAAAGAAATGATTCGAAATACGTCCAAATAATATCGCGTAGTGCACTGACTTCCCATTCCCACACTCTCCCCCGATATTTCTGAGTTATTATATGCGGACGTGTGTGCGTGTTGCAGGTTCCACTAGCGAGCGTTGTGCTACGCTCCGTGTTCCACGGCAACCGCTAAACGATCGTTTATCGTTTAGTCCCTGTGAGTATATGGATATATATGGAAATAGCCTCCACCTTCTTATACATATGTATATGTATGTATAAACTACATACAGGTACCTCTGCCGGCAGAGGTGGCCCCGTGTTATGATTGAATTATGGGACTCGACTTATTTATGGGCCATTGACTCTGGTGTCTGTCTCGGCTGGGATGGCTTACTTGTACCTGACGAATGGCGGGACTATGCCACAGGAATAAGTAAATGAGGAACAGCTCTGGTAAGGGAGATGGGAAATATCTTGTTCACGGGTTAATTAAGGTGCACCTGATAGGAGGAGGTGGAGGAAGTAGGAGCGTGATATCTCAGGATCTATGATTCGCTGTAATCCGAAAATTGGTATACAGATAACTAACTATATATCAATATTAATCCAATATTTAAATTGATTTTAAAGAAAGAATTGTAATCCTTTATCAAATTTTTTCAATTCTTTTTGCTCAAGAAAAATGGAAACTCAATAATTGTGCCACATTTCAATTATGGATTTTCCCAGGCTTTGCTGCACTCCCACTGCCGTGCATTTCCTGCCAATG